ATCCTTCACGAATTATAAAAATGTAAAGTGCATTGCACCTTTCGTTGATGGTCTTCTTTGACATCGCTAAGTAGCTTTAAACAGTGCTGATTGATACACGACTTGTTTCATTCATTCATATGAATAATGTCAGACCCACAGATATTAATTTTATGGAAAAATTTAGCTCAGTGGCGGATCCAGAGTTTTTTTTTAAACCCAATAATTTTTACTGAATGTAAATATTTTGCGTACCATTGCATGTATTAAAAAAAAACCACACATTCAACTTGTAGAATAGACCCTCTCCCCTTCCTCCTGTATAGATAGGGAAAAAATACTAATATCTTAACGTCCTAAGATAATGCAAAACGTTTATTTATTTTTTTCCAAATAAATAGAGCACGATTACTAAAAAAAAGCCAAGCAACCTAATCAGAACGCAGATTGTTATCTGTAAAACTGGGAAAGTGTATCAAAATTTAGTTTTTGTTTTAAAAACATACAAGGAGCATAAAAAGGAATATAAAATTATTTCTGCTAAAATGACATATATATCTTTTTTACATTCGTTAATTTATAAAAAAAAAAAAAAAAAAAAAAAAAAAAAAAAAAAACCCTGAAATATTGAACCACATTGATTAAAAAATATATTTAATTATTGAAAAGGAATCTTTAATTCATTAAAATTATATAATTTAGTCCGAGAAATGGAATAGGTAACAGAGATTACTGCACATGCATGATGATTTTTAATTTAAAATTTGTGTATACACGTATATATTGCTGTTTAGCCTTATTTTATTATTTTATTCATACATTATGAGTTGCTTTGGTGTTATTCTTTCAGTCTGTTGTCTTTAAAAGTACGTTCTTGTCACTGTATCGTACATAAGAAATACTCTATTTGTCATGGGTTTTAAATATTTATCAGTATTTAATCCGGTAAGTTTAAATCCGGGTACATAATAGGCATTAATTAAGAAAAGTGCTTGGTCCCTTTTTATACTTGAAAAAATCTTTACCACTTTGCCATCACGTTTAAGTTTACAATCCACTTTTACATGTACTTTACTTTATTTTACACTGAAGATGTACTATTTCTACATGTATGTATTTATTTTCTTGTCACTTCTTATCGTTAAATATGAAAAAATGGGATAAATTTTGAAAGGACAATGTACTTGAAGGCTGACAAGCATATCATTCGTCTTGTTGTCCTTTCATACGAAAGTACAATTTTTATACGATACATATGTTTTGATTGCTTATTTCCGTGTTTTTTGTGACTTTAAGGTTTTCACTCATATTGAAACGACAAAATGTGCCTGTAGAGGATTGAAAATATAAAAAAAAACTGACCTTTTATGGAGTGAAGAATACGGAGATAACAATATTTAATGCCAAAGTCCGTAAAACAAAACGAAATAGGCGCTAAGCAAACACGTACATCCGAAAACATCAGATTAAGTGCCATGTAGGAGTGAGGATCCCCTGCCGACAGGTAACACCCGCCGTGTGCTCACTGTCAATTCAGTATAAAATTAATCGACTAATAATGAGTAGGAAAAACGTCAGTTAGCATTTGACTCAATGATAAATTGTAATTGCTGACAAGGTCATTGTATCGACCATAAAACTTACGAAATAATGACTTTAAACGAGACTGCTGATATTCTAGTTTCATCAACTTGTTTGTCAATAATGAACCTTCGTTTTAGACAATGTTCATACGTAGAGCATGCTCTTAAGTATCGAATCAATTGAGATATATAAACCCAGTATTCAGGTGATGAAAGTATATCGCTGCATAAGTAAGGGAAAATGACGATCAAAATGTAAAAGTCATCACGTTTATCATAGATTTAGGTTGTTAGATTACCATTAACATCTTTTTCAAGTAAAATATCCAAGTATGAAACAGATGTGTCAGACTCTGTGTTATCTTTTATCTCAAGCTCATCAGGATATATCGTATCGACATAGGAATGAAAATTACCATTGTTAATTGACAATATGCGTCGATAGATCTAAATGTCTAAATCTTTAATTATGTCCTTTATGTTTAATTTTCTAATTTTGATAATACGCCACACATTTAAACATAAACATTATAATTGTTATAAATTTTTTGTCGCGTTGCATGAAAAATTTCATCCCCAAAGAGTTTTAAGCGTTTATTCAAACATTTCTGACCAGAAGTGAACGACACATTTTTAACGAGACATGCATAATTAACATGCTTTGCCTATGTACCATTAATACAGACCTGTAAAAAATGGAATATGATGACGCCTACAAAAGAGTGCAGACAACATTAAACTATTAGGATATTTGATGATGCAGGTCAGTATTTATACATGTAGGTCGTACGCGTGAATACTGCAATCAGGTAATTTTAAAAAAATAAGTTTTGTTGACTTTCGGCAATGTCTTAAGATTTGTTCAACCGGAAATTTAAAGCTGAGCGGCGACAGAAATCAATGTCGACAATCCGCGTATATGTTTATGGACAACAACCGAAAAAAGGGACGAAATAAACCTGAAAAATTAAATCAGATAAAATAAAGGAATCTTTATCAATAATGATGGAATAACATCGACAACTCAGCTCTCCCCCCAAAAAATAAAGGCTAAAAGTACATTCAAATTTTTCTTATCTTTGTTAGAGTTTCCACCTTTATTTTGAAAGACTTATTAAATTCATCTTTTCCGTTCATTATTTTTCCTCTACTTTTTTTGTAACAATCTTTATCAAAAAGATGTTTTGTTCATCGTTATTGTCAAGAAAAAATATGAAGAAATTTGACACAATGACTATGAATTCGCAGCTTTGTAAAAGCTTGAAAAAGGGGGTATTTTTAATTTCAATCTATTCTTTGCAAAATAATTCTCAGACCCTTTTAATGAAAGTTAACGACGTTCGATCCTGATATTTAAAGTCTTAAACTTTTTTTGCCAAGTATATTTTTAGTTTCTACATACATAGCTTAATCAAAATTCAAATAAAAAATTGGGGGTCAATATGCTTCTTTTAGCGCTACAGTACATTTAATATGACCTTTCTGCACTGAAATTTGTATCTTAATTAAAAATCACATCTTCGACATTTTCCCTCCAATATTTTTATCCAATTAAAGCATGAAACAAAATGAACTCTAAATCGGTTTAAAAAAAGACACTTAAAAATTGTGACTAAGAAAAAGTTTCAAATTGCTTGGCATAATCATTTATTTGACCTTTTTGCACTAATAAAATGTTTTTTTTCGGCATTGGAAATATAATAAGCAAGAAAATTATTTTAAAGTCTTAAACTTTTTCTGATTTTAAGCGAATAGGTCAAAGTTATCTTGAATATTTAGAAAAGAACATCAAAAGTGGAGGTATATGATGTGCATTTTCAGATATTACTAAAAAAGTGTGAATTTTACGTTAAAATTGGCTCAATTTTTCCCGGATTTTCAGAATATATTGACTATATTTGTCACACTTTGTTGATAGAATTCATAAGAAATAATTTAATAGATATTGCAGAACCAGCATAACATATTTCACTGCAAAAAACAGCTTTGTGTGCAACCAGCATGGAAAAATAGGCATCCAAAATTAACAGTACTGTTATAGTTCAAATGGAAGAAACTGATCATTTTCGTCTAAAAAACCTTCCGCCACAAAATATAGTCCCTAGTTTAATTCTACTTGAATGGAATTTAATCGCGGTTTTTTCATTGAATATAGTTTAATTTGCATTGTATAATTCAGTTTTATTGTTTGAACCTAAAAATAATGCTTAATTTTATGAATAAAGGACCTGCGCGAAATACGCTCAAAATATCAGGATCGAACGTCCTAAATGAAGTTTTATGAATAATGAAAAATGGGATAAGTAATAGAGTACGCGATAAACTACCATACGTTCTTTTAACTCTGACGATGCCTTTACATATACTTTCGGTATATAGTATATCTTTGCACATCTAATATGTCCTTTGTATAGTATTTTGAAAAAAAAGTCCTTAAAATTCATCCCTTCAAAAGTTATTCACTTTTAGCTTTGCTATTGTTACTTTTCAAACCCTAAACATTAGAACCAGAAAGAAAAAAAAATCAGTTATTTCCTTTGTTACTTAAGTAAAATATTCATCTATTCATTGCGAATGCTCCTATAACCCCTGACTCTAGACGTTGCCTTTTTATACCTCTGCACTTACCTTTAATTAAAGCCAGACATTTGAAATGAAAAGATATGGCTGTATAAATATGGGGTCAACTGCAATGTGGTCCATGATCTTTAAAATATTTTGAAGGTAAATGACCAACGGCACTTTAAATTTTGGATAATTAATATTTTTTGCAAATTTTAAAACTATTGTATGTTTTCTAATTTTGCAAAGTTAACTGCGGATACTTAATAATGAATAGGAATGAAATGAAAAGGGGATATACCTCTAATTGGTCAAGAACAATTAGTCTACTAGACAGAGCTTATGTTATCCGTCATTTTAAGCTTGCAAGATGTTCATGAAAAATAAAAAAAACATGAGAATGAAACGAATGAAAAGAAACAAGTAAGTCATCTTTTACACTAAAATTCTCAAAAAAAGTTTCTCATTTATTTTTTACATGTGTTTTATAGGAAATTCAGAAAAACACTTAATGCCTGAAATGATCATCCATAAAAAACTTATAATTGAACTGGACTTAGAATGAAGCTGAGTTGTGATACATGAATAATGCATGACAAGTCAGATTTTTTAGTATAACTTGAACCCCAGGCAGTACACAACTGAGACTGAGAGAGTTGTCTTTCATAAAATTTATCTTGTAATGAATATTTCATTACATTTCCATTGCATTGATTCGTCTACAGTCAGTTATTAATGATAAGGCGTATTTCCCTTATATCAAACATTTCATCATAGAAATATTGAAAAGTATCATTTAGAACACATATCAAATATTTTAGGAAGTTTATTTCGACTTTTAATTTTATTGTGACAAAGCAATGCTAAATATTTCAATTGTTAATTAGTGAGCCTGAAACTCCGTGAATATGATCCCATTATGTGCACATCAACTTTAAGATTAAAAACACTACGACCTTTTATCAAATGCTTTGTTATCTTACTGATTATCTTTGTTTTTAGGACCAATTTTGATAACTCTAATCACAACTAGGTCCTTGAATATTTGTAAACTCAGTCTTTGTTCATCTCTCTCAATAATTTTCTATAATTCTGCAGTCTTTCCCGGATTGATTTCACACTATCAATTCCTCGAATCATATCTGCGGCTTTTTCTGCAATCATGATCGTTGGAGCGTTTGTATTTCCGGAAGTAACATGACGCATGACGGAAGCGTCAACTACCCTCAGGTTGCTTACTCCCTTTACTCTGTAAGTATTAAATGTTGTTAAAAATTACTAAGAAATATGATCTTGATTTGAGTGAAATACATGGAGAATCAATGTATTGTAACTGTTTCAAATCTAAGCTATATCTGAACAATTGTACCAAACCATTACAGAGTTCGATATCTTACAGACACCTGTCACGTCTTCAACCCCTGCCTAAATATAGTTTATATTTCAATACAAGATTTTTTTTTGGTTTAAAGACAGATGATAAAAAAAATGGATGCCTGGATAAATATACATTTTTTGGCATAATTTTATTGAAAATGGTGCAGATAATAATTTCTAGAATGTGAGGAAAATGTAAACCGTCTATGATGTTAAAAATTCTGCCATTTTAACTTGAAACCACCTTTATTAATCTATCAAAATATGTTTCAATTCAAATCCTATTTTAGCAAAAATTTGCGTAGGTGAAATCTATTCATTTAACGTCTTAAAACATTACCTTAGTTGTTATTTTCATTTTTTTGACAAAAGTTTGTATCGTCTGTCCTTAATTCTGCAAAAAAAACTTTTACCTTTGACAAAAAAAAAAAAAAAAAAAAAAAAACCATCGTATCTTTTTTTTATTTTACAAAACTGGTCACATGCCGACAATTTTAACCATGGTGCCATGAAATAAATACTGCAAAATGTGAAATGTCACATTACACTTTGAAATTTACGAGGTTATAATTTAAGAGATTGGTATGTAGCCTTGGTTTATCAGCGATGCAGACGTTGCGGGATAAACAAGATTTTCTAAATCAATTGATTAATCATCTTGAACAAACAAACTGCATTTATAAACTGTTTTTAAGAATGCAAATTTATTGATATCGGTTTTTAATTTTAAGCCTTTTTAAGCCTAAAAAAACTGGATTCTTTAAAAATCACAGACCTTAGTTGTGGATCCACAACTGCTGTTTTATCGTCAGCTGCCCCCATTCTACACGTGGAGGTTGTATGATACATAGATATAAAGTTGAGTGCTACTCTACATCTCCAGTAATCGTCAGATTCGTATGGAAAATGTTTACAGTAAAGGAAATAGTTTTCATCATAAGGGTCGAATGGCGATGCTCCAATGGATCTGAATGCTGTTGTATTGGCTAACTTTAACAACTGCTTTATTCCTACAACAATAATGTAAAATATAAATAATGTACATGAGTATTAGCAAGAAATACTGACATGAGTACTAGTAGTTATACGTGTACCTATACATAAAATATACTGTAGACGTACTTTTTTCCACGGGGTCATAATTCCGCGGAATCTCAATTTCTTTTTATTCTGCGGGTAGATAATTACGCGGATTTCTTAAACTGTTCACTATATGCCTTACATTTATATTAAGTAGGCTTGAACAAATTTCCGCGGAAAATTTGTGACCGCGTACATAGCGTAAATTAATACCACGCGGAAAAAAGTACTTCTACAGTATTCACATGAATAAAGGTCTCCGTATAAACAGGATATTACAGACAAAAATACAATATCTATTCATAAAATGCTTATAACATCAACTACATGTATTTAAACAGAAACACAAGAAATCTTTCAGAACAGAAATAGTTTTATGTTATCTGTACTATAATTACATTACAACAGAGTATTCAAGTTTACCTTTCAATAGCATTTTCATATCATATGGATGATCCAAATAGTTGGGGTCTATACGGGGCGGATCAAACGGATCACTACTGTGAAGTTGAATTCTCCCTCTACTTTTAGGATGAAGGAGTGTACATAGTACCAGAAATGAGCTATGTGGATTGTTGCTGCTTATCTGCTATAAAGTACAATGACAATATCTTCATCCACGTAATACACATGTATATGAAAATTATAAGTTATGAATATTTGAAAAAATAAATACACAACAGTAATGCAAATGTGATCTGCGTACAGCAGAAGTTAAAGGGATGATAAATTTTATTTCACTGGTCATTTATACATTATTTCTGTTAAAACATTCTGTTACATATACGGAAGTACAGAGAAAGTTTATATAAAATTGAGTTTCTAAATCTTGATTTTATTGACGATCAGCTTGGTAACTGTTCGATGTTAATCTCGAATATTTTTCGAAAAATTTAATGATCGGTCTAAGTCAACGATTTTAATCCATATGTATTTCTGATTTAAAAAAAAAAACTACATATCGCAAGTCAAAAATAAAAAAATACCAAAAAACATTTAGATAAATTAAAAAAAAAGAAAAAAGAAATATCTGCAAGGTATGATTTGGATGCGTAAAATCTTTGATGAATTTCATCCCATTTTTTTTCAGATCTGTATTTAAATATGAAAAAAAAACTATTTTTAAAGAAAAACAATTAGAAATCGTTAATCTTGACCCTGATTGTTTAAAGGAGAAGTTCCTGAAGCACTGTAAAATGAAAGTTGTAAGTATGGAATCAAGTTGTCATCATCATTAAGAAATGCATTCCCCTCTATGTGTGATTTGCTTAAAGGACCTACAAAAATAAATCAAAAACCTCAATAGAATAACAAACTCATCATTGAAACAATGTCATATTGGGAGCAAATGGACATTCCTATATACCTTACTTTAAACAGTTTAAACATCACTGAAAAGAAACGCTAATATTAAGTAAAACAAGTCACTTTCATGTGCAAACTCCTTCCATTAAAAGACTACTGCATAAAGCTTGTTTTCTGAACAGGTAATTATCATTTCCAATCATTTTTTACTACACCTTGAATAGTAAAAGAATCTAAATCAGACACATACGTGCATGTATTGTTACTGAATTTAAAAGTCAGCACGTTATCATAATCTTCGTTATATGTCGCATTTGGAAAGATCTGATAATCTGTAAGTATACTCCAAACAGGTTCATCACCATATGAAGAGCAAAAACGTTGGAATAGCTTTAAACATAGTATTAAAGCTTGTGGTAAAATACAGAGGGAGCATTTCTGTCATCACAGGCCTAGCTCATAACGTCTATAGAAGAACTTTACGAGAAGACGCCGTTCGTCGTCAATGTATCTCCATATTTAACATAAATATGAAATTGGAATACCTATCTCGGACAAAACAATAAGGAGCAGTCTCCATGCCGGTACCCATTATTTTAGGAGTTAAGAAGTAAGAACACCTTTAAGAACATCAAGATCACAGAAGTCTCAACCTCGAAATACAGACATCACCTGATATTAATTCAGAAGACCAGAGGTTGTTTCTCTTATTAATGCATTTCTAATCATTGCTCCGGTGATTATTGAGCATGTGTGTATCGTCGTCCTGAAAACACTTTCCTGATCATTCTTATTGTCACTCTAGCTTAGTCGGTAAAGCACTTGCTCCGTGTTTGGAAAGTTGTGAGTTCGAATCTGTCCTAATTATAAGTCGATAAAAATAGAGGGCAACTGTTCCTTCGCACTCTGAAGTAAAAGTTGAGGGGCTTCTTGTGAGACTTAAAAATCGAATCACGGCAAAGATTGGACGTCAAAGATCACTGCTCAATAAACATGAATGCTGAGTAAAGGTCACAATTTAAAGCCCTTCACCCGAAATGGTGAAGTCTCCATATGAATGGATTATTCTCGAATGGAACATAAAACAACCCTACGCCTTTTTACGGAAGAACTGAACTAGATACCATAGATGAAGATTTATTGCCAGGAATTTTGTTGATATAATCTGCAGTCAATATTTCTTATTTTCCTTAAGGGTTATCAGCGAGTATAACACTAGACCCCATCGTGGACGTCTATCCATTTAAATACCGTGGGTCCGATGTTATGCCAATTTACCAAACCTAATCCCAATTAATTGGGCACATCTTTGATGACCTTGAAAGGCAAATGTATGGGATCATCTCTCCAAAAACTACCAACTACCTTCTAGATCTACTAAAAGAATAGATAAAATCGCTTAAACTACAAAAGGGCTTATAACTGAATCATCCAGAAGTCTTAAAAGTGCATAGAAGACAAATCTAATACGGATAAATATAGACATGTCATTACATTATGTGCATTTTAAATGAAATTCCCCCTTGATCTCAAATTATCATATACGTACTTTTATTTCTTAATTTTAAACAATTTGATTTAATTGTTGAAATTGATTAAAACTAGTTCTTTTTATTAGAATATGTTTAAGCTGGGGGAAATCAAATTAAGTCTAAGGTAAAAATCCTTCAGAAACAGATCACTGGGATCTCCAATGCAAATCTCAGTTTTATCTTTAAATCAGAACTACCTTGCAGATTTCAGTTTCATAAATCAACACAACTTTGCAGATCCAAGGTCTTTAAAACATAAAAACTTTGCAGATCCCAGGTTTATAAATCATAACTTTTCAAATCCCACGTTTTTATAAGAAATTTGTAGCACCCAGGTATAAAGATCAGCAAAATTTTGCATATCCAAGGTCTTTAATTCATCAAATCTTTTATAAAATAATTCAAATATGTTTTTCAAAATATTTACCTGATTTTGATAAAGCAAATTCAAAGAAAAACAAGGGTGAGTGGTCATACGCTGATCCTGAATAATCTCTAAACGACATATGAACATAAATGTGATCTTCTAAGTTTTCTCCAACAGGCAAATCAACTACCACTGGAATCTGTTAAAGGTGTATAAACATTATAATAACAGGTAGTTGTTACATTCTAAAGAAACTTAAACAGTCTATACTTACATTGTCTGAAGTACCAAAAGCATTATATGTATCTGCTTGACACTTAGTTTTGTGTGATACAAAGACAATTAAAAAAATTAATATGAGAAAAGGAGAGACCAAAACATATACAGTTTTGTCTGTATCACACATTTAAAAATATGAGAATAACTAGTATAGATCGTCAATCTTATACAGTAAACTAGCAAAGAGGTTAAGGAATTTAGACTTTTTTTCAGATCCTCCGAAGAGAAATAAAAAAATTCTGGAGACAAATCTTTTAATCAAATATATCTTGCTGAAGGCTTTAATGTCATTGTCTGTACCACTACACTTATGTGATTCTTTTATCTAAAAAAAATTAAGAATAAAGTCATTTCTACTGATGAAGACACTTGAAAATCAATTTTCTGATATTTATTTTCGTACAAGGATCGGTTTAAATATGAGTTTTTTTTAAATGGTTTGCTATAAACTTTGGATTTAGATTCGTATAAGTAGCAAACAATTAAAAAAATGGTTCATAATTTTCTTACATGTACCCCTAATGACTCGAGATGCTCCTTTGGTCCAATACCAGACAACATCAGAATTTTTGGTGCATTTATGGATCCAGCAGAAATGATGACTTCTTTCTCTGCTTTTATATGGTATGTTTCATAGTTTTTCACCAAAGTTATTCCTACCGCCTTCCTATGTTCTATTAATATCTGAACATAATAAATTGGGAAGTGTTTTGGTAACAAAGAAAAAAAATTCTTATTTTATGATAATGTAAACATAAAATCTAAAAAAAAAAAAAAAAAAAAAAAAACTCAATGATTTTGAAAATTCGTGTTTCTTATGTTTATATCCATTGATTGAATGCCATTCAATAAACGTAATTCCATTGTTCCATTTTCTTTTTTATTCAACTGTAGTTTTGCATTCAACATGAATAGAGCTTTGAAAAGAAATCAGTTTGTAATCATTTTGCTGAAGAAAAGTTAATTTTAAATAATTTGCCTGCTGATTAAAAAAAGCATATCAATTAAAAGCGGCTTTCTCTTTTTTGCCAATATTGATCATACTAGTATGTGTACGAGTATACAGTACCACGCACAGTAATCGCAAAATAGATAAAGTAAATTAATAGTCTGAGACAATTCAAAAAGTTAAAAGAGACTAATTTGTTTTTGGAGGATAAGTCAATTCATTCAAAACAAAGCAGGAATAGGCAAAATATTATATTTGTATTTTGTACATGAAGCAATTAACATATATTCAAAATCACCTACGTTCATTCTTACACAATGGTTTAAACACGGTTTTAAATTGTATATTAAATGAAAATTTGAATTTGTTTTATACCTTTGTAACGTATGCGTTTGTTACCACGTTAAGATTTGGACGGTTCATCGCAGGTCTTAAGAAAGCCTTGGCAGTACTCCATCTTTCTCCGTTTTTTACAGTCTCTTGCCCAAAACAATAGCCTTGTGTTGATTAGAAAGAGAGGAATGTTAATTTTATATTGGAACGAAGATGAAAACTGTAGAATTATTCTCCTTTTTTTATTCCTTACAATGCAACTTTGCTCTATAAAGGGATTCCTCCTTCAGACCTTAATAATAAAAACGTTCAAAATTAAAACAAAAAAGTTCATGGCATCTTAGTCGGTATAGCGCTCGCTTTGTGATCGGGAGCTCTTGAGTTTGAATCTTGGCCACGACTAATGTAGGTCGACATAAAATGGGTAGCAACTTTTCCTTCGCCATACGCTAAGCACTTGAAGTTAAAATTGAGGGTCTATCTGATGAGACCTTAAAAACTTAGGTCCTGTGCCACGGCAGGCATTGGCACGTAAAAATCCCTCACTGCTCAATGGCCCTGAGTGCTGAGTAAAGATCAAAATTTGAAGCAGTTCACTAGTAAATTGTAACGTCTCTACATAAGTGAAGAATTATTGAATTGGACGTGCAACAGCATACAATCAAAAAACCAATTATTTAATTCATCAATCATAATTAAAACAGTTAAATGAAATCAAAATTACATGTATAAGTTTATAATATACGTGTAAAAAACTCCCCTATACCCAAACATTAGACACCTGACTTGGAAAAGAAGCATCTACCTCCAGACTAAGTAAATAAGTATATAACCTATTTGTGTCATTCCATTACAGTCTACAACTCTGTATCCAATTTCCTCCATTCCCTTTCTATACACATTGTCGCTGAGATTAGTGGCTGTTCCATCACTGACACTCAAAGGACCGCCCATTCCATGGTACGCTGTACATATTTATAGGAAAAATTATTTTCTTAAGGGGAGAAAGTCAAATATTTATTAAAATCAAGGTAATGAATGCCTTTAAACCTTTAATTTAAAAATCTTTAGATTGAGATAAATTGTCTGGAAGAAAACAAGATAAAGAAAATAATAAATACGTGAAAATCGCAGGCTTGATATTTGCATATCTTCAGACTTAATAAAATACGGAAGAACATCTTTGTAACTCCATCCATCTGCACCCTCTCTGGCCCAGTTATCGTAGTCATGTCGGCTACCTCTTATGTACTGCAAATAGTCTATTGAACTTGTACCACCGAGGACACGCCCTCTTGGCCATGTACATTTCTAAAAATAGATATAATATACTTTTACAAAAAAAAAAAAAGAATTAGGTGGATAAAAAAGTACTCGTAAAATAAAGTAGTTGGCTTCTAAGAGAAAGAAGTCTTTACCGTGGTCTCAATTTTATAAGTTTACCGATGATTATTATTTATGAAGATAAATCAACTTGTAAGTAGAGTTCTTAAAATGCATCTATAACTCTAAATAGCAATTCATCAACAAATACAATTTCTTCAAACTTAACATTTATTTCATAGTTACGGTGCAGAGGAGAAATTAAATTCAGCTCGTAATTTTATAAAAAAAAAAGAGGTTTGTACCATACTTCATGTAATATATAAGGTTCAAAAACAACTGCGTGTAAATGATTAATGCAGTTCGGCACATATATTGAACCAGAAGTCTCTGTCGAGACTGAAGCTCTACTGGTTTTTACTTATAGGAAAGGAAGAGAAAAAGTAGCAGTTGGGATTTGAAACTTTACAACAGCAATAAATAGAATAATGCTCCTTGATTAAGTCTCTTAATGTTTTTAGTGTAGTCTACTTGCATGCCACATTATTACATAATCAGACTAAAACTGTATTTTGGGTAGCATTTTGATAATATTTTACAAAAATTTCTATCTTTAGTATCCAAGGCAGTGTTCATCAAAATCAAAACATTGATAAATAAAACTGTGTATCTTAATATAGACTACTTCTGTGCAAAATAATATTGAAATTAGAACAAAACTGTAGGGGAGTAGTATTTTGAAAGTATTTCGCAGAAATGTAATATTGCTAGTAACCATGGTAACATCGTTCATAAATAAAAAGAAAAAACTAATACATTAAATTGTGTATCTTAGTGTAGATTTCTTGTGAGCCAAGGTATATCAAAAATCAGACCAAAACTGTAGGAGGAGTAGCATTTTACATACAGCAACACCATTCACCGAAATCAAAAACCTTTACACAGAATTTTGAATCTCAGTCAAGTCTACTTGTATGCCAAGTTATATTGAAATCAGACTTTAGCATTTTGGATGTTTTTCACAGAAATTTTTATTTTTAGTAATCAGCGCAACACCTTTCATTGAAATCCAATACCGATACACAGAATCATGTATCTTGGTGTAATCTACTTGTGTGCCAAGTTATATTGAAATCAGACCAAAAATGTAGGAAAAGTAGCATTTTGAAACATTTTTTAGAGAAATTTCTACTTTTAGTATTTAAGTTATATTAAATAAGACTTAAGCATTTTGGATGTTTTTCACAGAAATTTTTATTTTTAGTAATCGGCGCAACACCGTTCATCGAAATCAAAAACCGATACGCAGAATTATATATCTTAGTGTAATCTACTTGTGTGCCAAGTTATATTGAATTCAGACCAAAACTGTAGGAGAAGTAGCATTTTGAAAAATTGTTCACGGGCAGACAGACAGACGGACGCATTACTATCGCATAAGCTCTTCTGGTCTCTGAACAGTAGAGCTAAATTTGGCCAGGGTCAACGAAATAGTAAATGGTTCTCAACAAAATACCGAATTCTCTCCCCCCCCCCCCCAAAAAAAAAAAAAAAAAACAAAAAAACCTCATGATCTGTACAGCAAGGAAGGTAAAATTAAAAAAATGTTTTGTTAGAAAACAATAGAAAACAAATCACTGCTTTATCATCTTTGTACCTTATCCTTTTTATCTTGACATGTAAACTTTTGAGGAGCTGTCCTGAAATCCCAGTCATGTTTTGTCCCTTGCAGGACTCCTGACATAAATGGGACGTGCATCATTTCGTGTTCATTCTCGGAACCTCCTGCCTCTACAATTAGCACCGATGATCCCAAATCTTCCGAAAGTCTGTTAGCGAGAACACAACCTGCAGATCCAGCTCCCACTATTAAAATGATACGTTCATAAAGGAAATGCGTATCATTTTTAGATGAGGGAAAATTAACAAATTACGAAAAAAAATATAATCGTGTTATTTATACGTAAATAAATATTAAAAAAATTAACAGATATTTAAATCAATTAATATCGTTAATCATTTTTCCATATAGATGTCAGTATAAACCTTCTTAAAAGAAACATAATAATAAAAGGATTTGTACCTATAATGTAGCTGTAATGATTGTTTATCTCTTTATTTTCTCCTCCCTTCAAATCTCTTTTTTCCATTTCTTGTACCACATGGTAGTACAGCAAACAAAACAATAATATCCCCAAAATAGTCCACCTATACTCGATGATACAACCGCAAATGCCAAGCCAAAGCATAATTCCTAAACAGGTGTACAGAATCCAGGAAAACAGCCCAACAAAGTAGTCCGCCATATTCCTTACTTTCCCTATAAATATTTTTAAAAAGGATTATGCAGATCTCGAAACATAAGTTCCTCGGCCATCTTTTTAATGGATTTCATTTGTTCCTACTGTGTAAATAATAGCAAAAAAACTCATCAAATGAAATATATGGAGATAACGAACAGTATTCAAGCTCAAAAGTCCATTAAACAATAAAAACAGGAGCAGAGCAAATACAAACCTAGAAAACATCAGAAGTGATATCAGTTGCCATGGAGTAGTCAGCATCCCCTGCCGATCGGTCAAAAATGATTCTTACCTGTAACGTAGTTGTATACACTGCTTAGTACACTTTCTTCTGCTGACCCATTCTTTCCATACGAATAATTGCACACAAGAACAGTAACCAGCGCCCAAAATATAAATGATGATATTGTCATGGCTATCTAAACCTTAAAAAACTGATTAAAACAATGGTAGTGCAGTAAAGAGTAATTCCGGAATTTATAGAATGCAATAGGAGTTGAACCGTGACGTGTTTTCTTTCTTATTTGCAAGGTTGCTATTATATCTAAGTATTTGTGAATATGACCTATACTGTAGAGTAAAGAGGGAATGCCTTTAAAGTAAAAAGGTAAGCATTCTACAATATTGAGCTTTTTATCACTCAAGGGTTTTCACTAAGGGAATATGTATTAGGAAGCAAAACTTATTAAAGTAATTTAAGAATGATAAAGATTTAGAAATTTAATATTAGTAAAAAAAAAGGAAAAGAAATAAAAAAAAATCGCCTCCTGATTTGCTTGTCTGCAATGGTTTAACTTTTGAAATAGTTATATTAGCACATAAGTGGTTTTCAGTAATATTGATTACTGATATAGCTCTTATTCTCGTTTAAATAAAATTTTAAAAGGTAGGTACGAGTATTATAAAATCATGCATGATCGAATTATTCTAACAACATATTTATCACAAATAACAAATTGATTTTTTTCTCGATCACTTTAAAAAAAGTCACTGAAAATATTTTTTCAATAAATGCTTAAGCATGCTAGATTGCAAAACACATTATATTTCGATTACTAGGTAATTCAGAAGAAAGTTAGAATAATACTAAGCAAGCATACGGATGTCAATTAATTCTTTTTTAACAAATATTGCCTCCTATGTGTACAGTACGTGCTTTCCATGTATACGAAGAAGAGACTCCTTTGCTTTATTGGAGATCTTAGATCCACCTGCAGTCTGATGATTAAATATCCCCTAAAGTTAACATTTATACTGTATCGTTACATAATATGCCTTCTAACAAACAAACAAAAGTTTATTAAACACGCATTCTCAATTTATAGTCTCAATTCGCTTTAAATAATGTACCGCGTTTTAAGTAATATAATATTTCAAATAAATTTTATTTTCTGCCACTCATATGAACCATTGTTGGTTGTTGATTAAAATGCAACAATTGTTTGTTGTAGTTTGAATGATTGTCTTAGGAGAAAATCACATTTTATAGCAGAAATCGATATTTACGTTACTGTCGTCGATCATCGTGTAGTTTTTATTTTAAACCAAAAAGAAGTTTTAAATCATTTACCTATCTTTTTCTTAGTAAGATTGTCCTACATTTGAGTTATATTTTCTGAATTTCACACCCTTCACACATATGCGTGTCACAAATTTTTAAAAGTTTTAATATATTTATCAAATTTTGATGTCACCGCAGAATTATTACTTTTCTATTTGGAAATTCAAAAGGACTGGAAGGATTGATAAACTGACTCAATAGGACTAAGTTGTAACTTTTTAACATCATGAACACCCTTTCTATTGCATGGAATGGTAAAAAGGACACTCTTTATCTGTATTTATGAACAATAGCCCCCCTTTTCTTATAAGTCCAATGGTTAAAAAATTCAGCGATATTTACGTGTTAGTATTTTTTCACAAATAAAGTAAGAGAACTACACTGTTCCCTATGGATCAAATTGCCGTACACTCAAGCACTAGAATATGCCTATAATTAACAGTGGAATAATTGAACAATGGCATTAAAAGTTACGATAAATCTCAGAAAGATATTTACGTTACCGATATTTACGTTACCCATATTTACGTTACCATGTTTTAAAGTAAATAAGTATTATTTCCAAAGCTGTTTGAACAGATTTGCGAGTGAATCTTTATGATGTAAATACTAAGAACATGAAGAAATATAAATTCTTTCTTAAAATGTCATTTTTTTCTGTAACAAGAGTGCAGAAATGCAAATTGAAGTGCACATGCAAAGGTGAACAATTTTCACTCAATATCTTGTGCATCCGTGTGATTTGAAAATTGAATTGACATAATATTAGTCACAAGTAGAATTGTGATTTAATGACCGAATCTCTCCATTTTGAGCAATTGGTTAATATTGCATAGTTTCAAGTGTAATGCACGTTATCATTCGGAACGTAAATCTGAAACAAAACTTTCTTCAAGTCTGTATTTTGCTGTTTGTTTGAAATGATAGTGTATCGTCAATTTAAAAAAAAATGGTTATATACACCTGAATTGTATACCAAGCTTAACATTTTGAAGAAAAAAAATCATTTTTGTAGGAAATTTAATTCCAGAAAATTGGCGCTGCGTTGCATGCAGTTGGGGGGGGGGGGGTATTCTACATCGGGTAAAAAAAGAGGGTGTTGGGTGTCAAGAAACTGGTTGAAATTGAATCCATTTCCATTTCCATTTTTGTTGCTTTGCAAGAAATACAAATATCAACATGTATAAAATTGTGCACCTAATTTTCCCACTGGAATTGTTGCTTAGACATACAACGTATGCGTCTATGTTTTAATGGTACTGAAAATTCAATTTACGTTACATGAACATAGAATGTATATTGCTCTATAGAGCACATGTGATATGCAACTTAATTATTGACAAACCTTTTAAGGGTGGTGGGGGATCTTTAATGTTTAATTTTTGAGATTTGACGATAAAGTTTTTACAAACAATTAAACATTTCAGACATGTAGCAACAGAGGGGGGGGGGGGGGGGGGGGGAGCAGCCCCCCTCCCCCCACTTTTTTCTCCAACCTTACTTCAACTATAGTAAATGTTCAGTGAAAAGCTAATTGCCCCCCACCCCCACTAAAAGTGATGTACGGAAAATGTAGTGTAATAATTGGTACTAAAAGTAGTTGGCATTGAAAAAAGTTCGCCTCCCCTCCCCCTCTAGGATTTTCGACTTTGTGCAAGTTTTCTCACCCCTCCCCCCTTTTTTTTGCCTTGTCAACATTTCAGGTAAGTAAAAAAAAATCTCTGGCTGCCCCCCCCCCCACTTTAAAAAACGATGCTACGTGGCTGCCTTTGAAATAATCAACAGATAAAATGGTGGAAGGCGGGGGGGGGGGGGTATGAATTACATGAGTCCTCTATAGATAAATCATAACTTCAATTTTAAATTCAATCCTTTGTAAAGAGCGTATATATAGATAAGAAAATTCATAAAATTCAATAATTTGAAATAATATAATCATTTTTTTCCCCGAATATACTTTTATTTTTGTATGATATCTATGTGCGATATTTACGTGATATTTAACAAACACTTCGTAATCAGGTAATGGCGAAATATTTAACCTTCTTATATTCTAAATAATGTGCGTTTTTCTGAGCAAATTAATAAAGAATCAATTACTGTAGCATTTTAGGGAATATTGTCATTATTAAGCTTATCATCGGATGTGATAAAACTTGTTAAAATAAAAAGAAAATAATTTCATTTAAATGAAAATTATATCTGTTTTATTTCTACAAATAATTGAATCAAAGATTCTACACCCCTTTTACAAATGTGCTTAAACGGTTTCATAAATGATTATAGTTAACAAAATTTGATGTGTATTATATTGATTTTGTATTTAAAAAAAAAAAATTCTTTCGTTTCCAAATATGGCTTTTCAACATCACGTAAATATCTTGGTGTAAAATTAGCCCTCCAACCGCTTTTATTTCGAAGGAGGCCAACAAAACACAGCATGAAGTATGTAAATCAAATTGCGATTTTTAATAACTATACACTTTCATGTTTCAAATGACGTATAAAAGTTATAATTTCAGTTCACTAAATTTTTTGACTTTTCCCAAGATCGAATTGGTACTATAAATTGAGAATGCGTGTAAAGTATGTTTACATTGACTACGTATATTGTCCACAAAAACTTCTAAACTACGTTTCATAATAATTACTTACTTACCAATGATATAGAAAGAAGGCTACATTGAATCTACGTACATAGAATCCATGCAGGAAGGAGATTATATGCCGTGAAAAAAGGGATCTGGTATCTCACGAATGTTAACCTGGCATTTCGGTATATCACGTAATGTTCATTCACCCGGAAAGCGGGTCGACGGTTAGCGCCTCCTTGTGTGTTGAATTGTTACTTATAATAACTCATTCATACTATCTGATTCTTCTGTTTTCAGAAGTCAGAGTGTCCCCTACTCACAATTTTTATATCTAACCTTGATATTTTGAAAATAATTACATGATTGTACCTTTAATTTGTGTCTGTACATTTTATTATTCAGTGTTATACAAAGGTAAAGTTAGACTAAAATGTTGCTTCATTTTATTTTACTTGCATTAAAGTCTTGATTGGTACTTGTATTCACATTTTTAAGTATATCTTCACGTCCCCGGTTCATATCCATTTTCCTTTCAAACATAGTGTGACAGCATCAATGATTGGAAATGAATGTAGAGTGTATAATCCCAATCTTGACATATATTACATTGTATCGTTTGCTTCTTAACATTAACTCATAGACGAATACGATTTTGATAAAGAGTGTAAGAAGTTCAACAAAACAATAATTTTTTGGGGGAAAAAATTCTCGATGTGTTATCGATGTAATATTTAAACAATGTACACCCTTCAAAAAGATTATATTTGGCTGATCGTAAACGATTTGTTTCCTTATTAAATTTCAATATTTCCGTTGTTATCAATGTGTACGTCTGTCCTACCTTTTGAGATTGTAAAAGAAGGACAATTTTGCGTTCTTTATACAGATTTTATCACACAACAGGAAAATTAATTGAAATTGAATTATTTATTCTTTGTAAACATAGTTTTAAAGACCTGAACTAAGTTTAAAAATCAAATATGTCCTGTTTCTAAAAATTATCACGTATTTGAAGCTTTAATCTTAGTTCCTAGGAACTCGATTATCATTAAAAAATTTGTGGCCAAATATCTTTTTTCATACAAACTTTTTTCAAAATTATTGTTAGTCCATTATTTATACACTGATATGACGACGGATTTTTCCTTTATTGCACGATCATGACAAGGGGCACACGGCGGATGTGACCGGTCGGCAGGGGATGCTTACTCCTACATGGCACCTGATCCCACCTCCGATGTGTTGGAGGTCCGTGTTT